ATATATAATGTATATGTATATATATGTGTATATATATGTATATGTGTATGTATATGTGTATATATATAATATATATACAATTATATATATAAATGTGTATATATATAATGTATATGTATATATATGTGTATATATATGTATATGTGTATGTATATGTGTATATATATAATATATATAATATATATACAATTATATATATAAATGTGTATATATATAATGTATATGTATATATATGTGTATATATATGTATATGTGTATGTATATGTATATATATAATATATATAATATATATACACAATTATACAATTATACAGTATATAATATATAATTATCATTATAATGATAATTTATATTAGAATTATATTTCATATTAGAATTATATTTCATATTAGAATGATATTTTATCTTCAAATTCTATTTTATATTATAATTATAAATATGTTACATATGATGCAGACAATAGACAACATATTATAGAATAGATAATTATATATTATATATTATATATTATCTCAGAATTCTATTTTATCTTAGAATTCCCTTTTCCACGAGAATTCTGCTCCATTTTTCAAAGCCTCCTGCAGAAGTCCTCCGAGGGCTTTGCTGCAAACGCTCCCTCCAACTTTTCAGAGCGACGAACAGAAACGCACTCGGAGAATAAAAAAAAAAAAAAAAAAAAAAAAAAGGGTGATCCGAGTCCCTCTTCCTTTTGAAACGACCTCATTTTGCTTCTGCGGGGGCGACGTGTTGTTGTTGGTTTTTTTTTTTTTGGGCTTTCGACTTTTTAATATTTCGCTCGTAGCGAAATGTCAGATTACAACCAATTAGGCAAACTGTCGGGGAAATTACTTTCTATTCTGTTCCAGAAGTCATTAGCGAGGTGGTGTTGGGTTTTTTGTGGGTTTTTTTTTTTTGTTGTTGTTTTTTTTGAGCGCTTTCGGCGGCTGCGAGGCGGAAAAATATTCGGGAACCGATCTTAGGCATCAAATAATCGAGTTATTGATGCAGCTCGAATTCCACTTCTAATAAGAAAATAATTTTTATTTATGAAGCGAGTCTCCCATTTCCTCCCCTCGGGCTACTCCAGGGCCTGAGTAATGTTGTCCTTGAACAGCCTTGGAAAAACACGGTGACACTTGTTAAAAAAAAAAAAAAACAACCAAACTAAAAAAAAATCATAAATAAAACTGTAGGGAAAAAAAGCTGCAATGAGGGAACGATTGGAGGTGGAACCTTCTGGAAGAGGGGAAGGAAATGAGCCTTAAAACCAGGGAAGCAGCTGCTGGTTTGGTTAAAATAAAGGCTGGGTGCCCGTTCTGGGTCAGAATTAAGTGTAAATGAACAGATTTAGGACTGAGGTGCCCAGAGGGGGGTAATTTTTCACCCCAAAGGACTGTGGAGGAGGAGAATTCCACCCCTGGAGCGGGGAATTCCAGAAGGTGGGGTGAGAGTGTGATGGGGAGCAAACAGGGGTTGGAGAGGGAAGGTCAGGGGTTGCTGAGGGGGTCGAAATGTCCGGAGATATCCCGAAATCTCAGCCAGGGGTGGGAAGAGCCAAAGCCAGGACTTGGTGGGAAGACTGGTCGCTGGGGTGAGAATTCCCCCCTGGCTGTGTGTGGAGGCTCTGGAGCTGTGGAGGTGGAAGGAGAGAGGAATTTGCTCAAGGATAATGAACCTTTGTTCCTCCTGTGGTTTGGGATCCAGGTCTCTCCAAGCTCCAGAATCTGAGCTTGGTTTGATGTCAGAACGTGGAATCCTTCAGGAATCCCAATCCTGCCCGTGTTTTGGAGCTGAGAAAGTTGGTGTTTCTCCAACAGGAGTGTTTGGGAGCGTGTTTCGGGATGGTTTTCCAGCTGCCTGGTTTTCCTGACCCCCATCCTTCTCCTTTCCCGTTGTTTTTGTCTCTGGTTGTTCCTCATCCTGATTATCCGCAGCCGCCGCTGCGCCGTGTCCTCCTTGTGCTGTGGCACCAACTGGTGTCTTGGCTTTCCCAGTTGGATTTCAGCAGCTCTCCCAAGCTTCTCCAGCTGGATTTGAGCAGTTGGAGCCTTGGAGTGGCTCAACAGCAGCAAACTTTTAATACTTTAATAAAAACACCTTTTTTCCCCCTTATAGAAGTTCACTCCGACCATGTTCCAGACTCAACCCGCTCTCGCTTCCCGGAGTTAAATCTCAGTTAAACATCTCCAATGTGGCTCTTCCTGCCTGATCCTGGATCTCTTCCCTCTCTTCCCAGGGGCCACACGGTGAAGGCTGTGTGTGAATCCTTCCACCTGGCCAAGGATGCCGGCTTTAAGGTGGTGGCCCACATGATGCCCGACCTCCCAAACATGGGCCTGGAGAGGGACATGGACCAGTTCGTTGTGAGTATGCCTTCAAATACCCGGGAATTTCTCGTGTTTTCCAGCTTTTTCATCCAACTCTTCCCGTTCTTACCTCAGCCATCAGTTCTGATCCAGCCCAGGCTTGTTTTTCTTAAGGACAAATAATTGAAAAATCAATTTTTTTTTTATTTTTTTTTTTTTGTGGAAAGGTGGAGGGTGAGAAAAGATTTGTTGAGCTACTTCATCCAGAAAATTATATCCCTGCCTCATGAAAGCCTGAGTCACCAGGGTCCCTGTGGAATATTGCTCTTCCCATATTAACTGGGGCTCTTGCTTTTTTTTTTTTCCAAGTTTTCCTTCCTGGGATTTAGAATAGTGCACAATTGCAAGTTGAAAGAAGGCAGTTAATTGCAAAATGAAGTGTACAGGTGTGTCATGAAGCATCTCTGTTCTTGGCTTTGTTCTTTGTCAAGGGTGTAGAAGAAAACAGAAAATGATTCCTGGAGAAATGGAAATGAGGAGTAAAGTATAAGCAGTGCAGGGAATTAACCACTCTAGGTGGTAGTTTGGTAGATTTTCATTATTTCTTGTCTTGTTTTTTAAGGCAAAATCGGTTGTGTTTTTAAAATAATGCAGAAACTGGGACGTTTCCGAAGGAGTTTTGTGCAGAACTCCTGAGCACAACCCCTTAGTACTTAACAAATATTGTATTTGTGTGACAGAATGAGGGACTGGGGCAAAGGGATGTGCACAAACCCAGAGGTGCAGCCAGAACTCAAAATTCCCCCTCCAGGCTCTCCTCCTGGGTTGTTTTCCTACCACGCTGTAGGGAAGTAGAGCGTGGACATGACGTAGGATTTTCCAGGAATTACTCGTGGTGCAGAACCTGAGTCCCTCCCCGACGTCTCCTGAAGTTCCAGCTGGTTTTACGTGGGTTTTATGGGTCTTTATGGTCCTGTCACGAGCCAAGGGGAGACAATTTGTGGCGTTAAATGAGCAAAAATGACAAAAAGATTTAAAGAGCCAGCAAGGAGGAGCCGGTGAGCCGAGGTGTTTGTTTACAAGATGTCAGGGTGGAGAGGGAGGGATTATTTAGGGCTGGATTGCAAGCTCCTGTAGGAAGTATTTAGTGCTTGTTGTTCTTTGCTGCTTGTTCGTGATGGGCGGTTAAAGATTTCCCACCGTGGGATCTGGAATTGCTCCCGTTCCACTGCAGATCTGGGAACAGGTTTGGAAGGTTTAAGTTCAAGTGATGGCATCACTGAAGGTTGTTGTGTCCCTTTATAAAGGGCAGCTTTTTGCAGGAATTGAAGGGGCAGGAGGGCAAAGTTTGCGGGAAGGAGGCAAAAAGGCGGCGAGGAGGCTGGAATTGGGAGAGGGGGAACGAAAAGGAAACTGGGCATGGAAAAGCAGGAGAAGGAGAAAACAGAGCAGAGAAGGGCAAGTGGTTTGTGCTGTTTCTGCCCAGGGAAGTCCCTTGGCTTTGGGAGCTGGGAAAACTCCTTGTGAAAAGAGTTTTGTGGAAGGAGGTGAGTTTTAAGGTCCCTCCCAACCCAAACCATCCCGGTGAAAACCAGTGTGGATGGTGGGACTCTGGACGTGGCAGGAAGGAATCCACGTGGGATGGGAAAGGATGGGAAGAGAGGGAGTAGGTGAGAACAAGGCCCGGAGAGAATTAAGATACTTATAAATTTATGAGAGGAAGGGTTAAGATAAGACGGGAATTTTTTGCTGGAGGGCCAGAGTTGGCAAAAAGCAGGTGGTTGGAGGGTCAGGGAAGAGAAATGGGGAGCAGGGGAAGGAGAAATCCAGGTGGGAGTTGAGGAGGGGAGTTCAGGAGGGCGGAGGGTGATGGGGGTGAAGACCAACTCTTTGGGAATTTAAAGCAGGACTCAGGGATCAAATGAAGGTTTGGTGCCAGTGAAGCCCCAGGGGAGAAGCTGGAGGATGAGGAATCCGTGTGGAGGATGAAGCCCTCAAGTGATGAGAGGAGGAAAAGTGGGAGCTGGGGAGGGGAGGGAAACTGGAGGGGAAGAGGTGATGGATCACATCAGCATGGAGAGGAGTTGTACCTGTGGTGATCAGAGAGGAGAAAGGGGGGGAAAGGAGAGGAGCAATCCCTGATTCCTGTCTTAGAGGTTCACAGGGTTCCCGCTCTGATCCCTGCACATCCCAGGGAATGGAGCTGCAGGGGATGGGAATGGAGAGGTTGTGGATCACTGGGACACGTTTCAAGATGGAATGATAAACAAGAGACTTCTTTTTACCCCCTCCTTTGCTTTCTCATCCTTTTTTAAATGCGTTATAATTTAATTTCTAAGCATCCTTTGTCCTAAATCTGAGAGAATAAGGGGTAAAACCAACTCCTTTCTTTTATTAATCTTTTTTTTTTTTTCTGGTGCACATAGCAGAGGTGTTCAGCAGGCTAATTCCTTCATTCCCAGGGATCCAGCTGATAGCAGATTCTCTCCTTCCTACCTTAAAATTTTATATCATCCTTTTGGGTTATTAGAACAACTTATTTCTGTGTTGTGCTGCATAAATATTAGTCCAGGCTGGTAAATATTTAGACACTTCTGCTGCATAAAACTAATGGGGCAGTGAAGAGAGGAACCCAGTGGAGGCACAAAGCTGCTCCTTGTGCAGGGTTCTCCGAAAATGTGGCATCTTCTCACAGTCATGGAATGGGTTGGGTGGGAAGGGGCCTTAAAGCTCATCCAGTTCCAACCCCGACACCTTCCACCATCCCAGGTTGCTTCAAGGGAATCCAGCCCGGCCTCGGACACTCCCAGGGATCCAGGGGCAGCCACAGCTTCTCTGGGAATTCCAGCCCAGCCCCTCCCCACCCTCCCAGCCAGGAATCCCTTCCCAATATCCAACCTGAACCTACTCTGTTTCAGCTGAAAGCCGTCAGTGGGTGGTGGTGGCACCCACGGTGATCTGAGATCCCAAATTAGTGGGGAAGATGCTGTGGGAGCATCAACCCCTTTCTGTTCCTGATGCACTGAGGGGAGGGAGGTGGAAGCGAGGGAAGAGCAGGAATCTGGTGTTAGAGAATCCTGGAGCCCCAGAATGGGTTGGGTGGGAAGGGACCTCAAAGCTCATCCCATTCCAACCTCGACACCTTCCACCATCCCAGGTTGCTTCAAGGGAATCCAACCTGGCCTTGGACACTCCCAGGGATCCAGGGGCAGCCACAGCTTCTCTGGGAATTCCAGCCCAGCCCCTCCCCACCCTCCCAGCCAGGAATCCCTTCCCAATATCCCACCTCTCCCTGCCCTCTGGCACTGGGAAGCCATTCCCTCTATCCTGTCCCTTCATCCCTTGTCCCAAGTCCCTCTCCAGCTCTCCTGGAGCCCCTTTAGGCTCTGGAATGTGCTCCAAGCTCTCCCGGGATCCTTCCCTTCTCCAGCCTGGCCATTCCCAGCTCTCCCAGCCTGGATCCAGAGCCTGCCATTGGATCCATCCCCAGCCCAACTCCTCCCTGGGAAGGAGTTCTGGGAACAAGGGGGTTCCCTGGGAATCTCGGCACTCAGGGAAAGGTCCCCTTCCCCTTTCCTGCCTTTTCCATCCCTGACTTCCATAAAAATCCCTCTAAATGGATTCTAACCTGAGTGTCCTTTATCCTGGAATTCCAGACTGGTTTGGGTTGGAAGGGACCTTGAAGATCATCCCATTCCATGGGCAGGGACACCTCCCACTATCCCAGGTTGCTCCAACCTGGCCTTGGACACTCCCAGGGATCCAGGGGCAGCCACAGCTTCTCTGGGAATTCTATTCCACCCTCCCAGGGAAGAATCCCTTCCCAGTCTCCCATCTCTCCCTGCCCTCTGGCAGTGGGAAGCCATTCCCTGTATCCTGTCCCTTCATCCCTTGTCCCCAGTCCCTCTCCAGCTCTCCTGGAGCCCCTTTAGGCTCTGGAAGGGGCTCCAAGCTCTCCCTGGATCCTTCTCTTCTCCAGGTGAACACCCCCAGCTCTCCCAGCCTGTCTGAAAATACCCTTGACTTTTTGGGACGAAAGACACCTTTGGCTTATCAGGAATCTTTACAGATATTTGATTTTTTTAGTTTTAAATACGTTAGGGGAAAAAAAAATCCCTTTATTTGTTGTGCCAGTCTCCTTCCCAGCCACCTGCTTTTCAGACCACGGACAAAAGGAACCAAGTTGACTTTAGGAGGAGCTTTAAGCACCTTTGCCTTCATCACCAGTTGATATATGAATTCCAGAGGCTTCTCCTGGGAAGGCAATAACTTGCTGATTGTGCTGACCGGGGACTAAAAATCCTGGGTGCTTCTTCAACTTGAACAGGTAATTACAGTTCCAGGAGCAACGTTGCCTCTGTCCCTTCTGACCTATTGATTTCCAAGTGTCTCCTGCTCCTTCCATCCAGCAGCAAAGGTGCCCAGCACTTCTTCTTCTTCTGCAAACACGTCAGAGCTCCGGGTGTGGGGTCAGCAACTGCTCTTCTGGTGATTTTATTAGTGATTCTTCCAAAGATTATTTTATTGATAGGAGCGTGTTGCCTGTATCTTTTATTATAGGTGTTTATTATTATTATTTTGGCCCGCAGAGGTTGTGAATTCCATCCCTGGAAGTGTCCAAGGCCAGGTTGGACAGGGCTCGGAGCAACCTGGGATGGTGGAAGGTGTCCCTGCCCATGGCAGGGGGTGGAACAAGATGGGCTTTAAGGTCCCCTCCAACCCAAATAATTCTGGAATTCTCTGATTCCATGGTTTTTTTACAGTAATCTGGGATAGTGGAGCAACCTGGGATGGTGGAAGGTGTCCCTGCCCATGGCAGGGGGTGGAATTGGGATGAGCTTTAAGGTCCCTTCCAACCCAAATAATTCTGGGATTCTGTGATTCCATGATTTTTCTACAGCAAGTGGCACGTGAGTGGCTTTTTCCCTGCCTCCATCACGAAGATTATTCCAGTTGTGTATACAATTATTCCAGTTATATTTACAATTATCCCCCTTATTACACAATCACTCCAGTTATATATTCGATTATTACAGAGTGGATGTTCTGTCCCCGTG